GGGGGGGGTAGGAGTCAGGGCAGGGGCTGGGGTGGCTGTGGGCAGGCTGGAGTGTGGGATGGGAGGCTCTCAGGCCTAGGCCAGTCACAGATGGTGACTCTGCCCTGTGCTGCTTCTGTTCCCAGGCTAATGGAAGCTGCGGGGGCAGCGCTGTGAGGCAGCGGAAAGGAGCTGTGGGTGGGCGGGTGCTGCAGCACCCCCAAGATCCTGGCCCAGTGCCTGAGGTCCTGGATGCCGGCTCCACATGCCTGGGGCTCTCCAGCCATCCCCTCTCCCCCACCGGGGGCTGTCCGGCCACCAGCCCTGCTGTCCTGCGGCTTTCCGGCCTCCGAGGCATGGACGAGTGCACCTCCCCAGTAGAAACCAAACCAAACTGTAGGCTGGGTGTTCATTTGAACCTCTCCTGAGCGCCCGCAAGCACACAACTTAGAGGGAACACAGCTGACAGCCAGACAGCAAAATCTTATTGCATCCTACACGCTAAGGATGCGCATATCTGCACAGAACTGGGGGGAGGGGGGAGAAAACACACCATTTAAGAGACCATGGGCATGCCACACTGATGAAGGTGGGGTTCCCGGGCATGGCGTTTGAGTAGAGCTAGTGGGTTAGAGGGGGGAGGACTGAGAGGATAGGAGGGGAGTGAGATCAGGAGGTTTGGAGCAGAGGGACTCCTGGATTCCTCTGGCAGCTCACAAGCCCGGTCTCCTTTGTAGGAGCCAAGAAGATGAGTTCAAATATTTCCATCCCGCTAATTCTCACCATCTACATCTTCACCTTCCTGATCGGCCTCCCATCCAACCTCCTGGCCTTCTACACCTTCCTCATGAAGGTCCTCCAGAAACCTGCAGGGCCCAAGTTTGCTCCTTGTATTAACGCGTATTGTTCTCTGTGGAAATGTAGTTACTGCCTCGGTGGGATTGGAACACAAGAAGCTGCAGCCCAGCACGCTACACCAGGGGCCCTGGGAACATCCCCACCCCTCCTGATAAAGCAGCAGTGCCAGGTGCTAGCAGCAGTAGTAAGGCTGTTATCCACCATTAGGTTAGGAAGGATTTGGACTCTGGACTGGACTCTGCTCTGCGCAAGGGAAGGGTCAATGCCACTTGGTGGCAGCAGTGGGACGGCTGTAACTGAGCAGGATTTGAAGGCAGGACTAGCTCCACAGCGAAGAAGAGCTCATGGGCTCTAAAGGAAGCGTGTCCTTTTCTGCAGTAGTAGGGCTGGTATCCTCCGTGCTCGCTGTTGGCGCGGGTCAGCATTTAGCAGGCAAATGTACTATGAACACCCATCCCCACCGGACTGTACCAGATCGAGCCGTGGAGCTGAGCTCTCGCTCACATGATGCCCGGCACCTCCTCCCTTCATTGGTGGAGTTGATACCCCTTTAGCTCCCTATTAAATACAATATTGATTTATTGCCCAGAAGTGATTTTTTTTTCAGATTCTTCAGGGCTGGAGAGGGATCTAGTGGGTTAGAATCAGGGGTGATGGGAGCCAGGACTCCTGGGTTCTGTCCCCCTCTCTGGGAGAGGAGTAGGGTCTAATGGTTAGAACTGGGGGGTGGGTTGGCTGAGAGCCAGGACTCCTGGATTCTAGCTGTGGGAGCAGTCTAGGGCTGCCAAACTTTCCATTCACAGAAAACTGACCACCCTTGTCCAACCTCCTACTCTGCTCCTGCCCTTGCCCTTCTCCAAGACCCACACCCCCAACACTCACTCCATGCCCTTTCCCTCCATTGCCCCCCACCCCCAATCACTAGGGAGGCTAATGTAGGCATTCGAAGTTGCAAATCAAGCCTGGGATTTAAATATTCCGCACTTGATTTGCATCTTCCCAGCCGGTCGCCATTTTTGAAATGTACAAGTCTGGAATAACTGCCCCCGTCTACAAGCAGCAGGGACCCGGTAGTTTGACATAAAGCCCTAGTTCAAACTACCTGTTATGCCTCCTGGAATGAGGTTTAACAGGTAGTTCGAATGAGGGGGCTAGTGTAGACATACCCTCACACATTTTCACCAGGCTGAGGGCAGGGCTTGGTGTGTGGGAGGGGAAGCCAAGCTGGGGCTGGGGGTTAGTGGGTGGGAGAGAGTATGGGCTCTAGGCAGGGGGTGCAGACTCTGGAGTGTGGCCAGAAATGTGGGGTTTGAGATGTGGGAGGGGGCTCCAATGTGGGGCCCGGGATTGGAGTGCAGGAGGGGGTGAGACACACGGTCTCCCTCCTCACTCTAACCCCTAGAAGCCACAGGGATAGGTTGCAGCTTTCTGGGAGGTGCCCAGTGAGTGCTGCCTGTAGGCCACACCCCAAACCCTGTCTGCCCCCCAGCCTGCCTGGGGCCGACCGGACTTTTAATGACCCGGTCAGTGGTATTGCCAAGGTCTCCTTGCAACCGGGCATTCCAGGCAAAACAGGACACCTGGCAACCCTTGAGGAGAGCGTGCTGGGGGCAGGACACACTCGTATTGTTGCTGGCGACTTAACTAATTGCAGGGTGTGAATTTGGCACCGCACGGCCAGGAGTGAGCAAACAGCATCGCCATGGGGCTGATATTCATTGGGGGTTAATGAATAACTGGGCCAGGCAGGGCCTGGGGCAGCCAGGGGGGTGCTTTGTGGGAGCAGCCACTCCCGCCCTCTCCTAGAGGGTTTCCCCAAAGCAAGAGCCCACCCACACGACCCCCATAAACACATAGTGTGAGCACTGGCAGAGCTGAGGAGGGGAGCTGTGACAGACCGGGCCGGGTCTGGGCACAGCTGAGGGCGTCCGCTCAGGGCGAATTGCTCAAATTTGGGGTTCCTTTCAGCCCCAGACTGGAGATCTTCCCAAACAGGCCACAAACCAGTCCCACAGAGCGCTTCAGCTGCCTGCCTGAAGCCTCACGAGCAAAACCCCTCCGACACCCCAGCAATATCTATGCCTCAGATGGCCCCGGGCATCATACACAGGTGGGGGGTCCTAGCACCCAATCCCACCAACCCCGAACAAGTTCTGTCCGGTTCCAAGAAACCAGCCACAGATCCCTGGTCAATTTACCCTCTGGATCTTACCCACAAATCACTCTGGGCCAATCCTTTAGAATCTATAACTAAAGGTTTATTATCACAAGAAAGAAAAGCATGAGAGTAAGGTTGTTAAAGTACAGTACGTTACATGCACCGAATCTCCCAGTTCTCGATGCAGGCTCTAGCAGAGATGTTACAGCTGCTGGTTTAAAAGTTCTTATTGCTCCAGACTCAAGCCGCGTTCTTTCGAAATTATTTCGAAAGAACGCGGCTTTTCTTTCGATGGCGGTAAACCTCGTTTCACGAGGAAGAACGCCTTCCTTCGAAAGTTCTTCTTTCGAAGGAAGGCGTTCTTCAATGTAAAGAGGCTGTCTTCGAAAGAGAGCATCCAGACTCGCTGGGTGCTCTCTTTCGAAAAAGCGGATTTCCGCTATCGAAAGATCCGCCTGCAGTCTAGACGCGATCTTTCGAAAGAGGCTCTTTCGAAAGAGGCTCTTTCGAAAGAAGCCTGCAGTCTAGACACACCCTAAAGGTTTATTACACAAGAAAGAAAAGCATGAGAGTCAGGTTGCTAAAGTATCATACATTACATGCATCAAATCCCCCAGTTCTCGATGCAGGCTCTAGTAGAGATGTTACAGCTGCTGGCTTAAAAGTCCTTGTTGCGCATCCTAGGATCAGGATGGGTCCACAGTTCTTTCCGGCTCTTCGATCCCTGGACTGCTGCCTCTGGGATGAAGTGCTGAGCTGAGTATCAAGATGGAGTCAGTCACATGGCCTCTTTATACATCCTTCCTGGTCTCTTCTTGGCTGCAGCAGGTCACCTGGCCAGCGGCCTATCCCTGTGTTCCCTGCTGGTAGCCCTTAGGTGTCAGGCCTCATTCTTGAGGTGTGTCCTTGGCCCAATGAGTGCCATTGTCCCACATAGCCTCGCTAATTAGCATGTCCATAGGCCGGGCTCTGCTCAATGCTCAACCACATGCAGAGAAATATTCAGTATCCATACGAAGTACATGCTTATAACTTCACACACAGACATTATACAATCACATGACTAGCGTACATAGGATTAGCAGACAGTGAGCTTCTATTCAACACCTCACATGGCCCCCCTTTTATACCATTTTTGGGGCCAACACCCCCACCTATGGGTGCAGCAGTGATCTTGCTGCTTCCCTCAAATTTGGTAACGTGACAGGAGCCCACGGCTGGGCCAGCAGGGGGCTGCAGGTAAGTGATTGAGGGGCACTGGCAGATTGGGGGGAGCCCCAGGCAGGGAGCAAAGGGGACTGCAAGCAGGATGTGAGGGGGAGTCGAGTGGGGGTGGGCCCTGGGGATGGAGTGAAGGGGGTGCCATGTTCCCAGTGCCTGGGCCCCTGCTTAGTGTGGACCTGGCCCTTGTGACACCATTAGAAATCCAGCACTGCTCCTGGTCCAGCAGCAGCAAAGGAAGGCCCTTGGCACCATGGAAACCCCAACTCCAGGTGGCCAAATCCCTGTGCAAGCTTAGCCAGTGACTCTGAAGCTCCCATTGGCCAAATCCCTGTGGAAGTTGGTCAACGACTCAAAAACTCGCTGCCCGCGGGTGGCTAAGGCCATGTTGTCGGTACCCGCCGGATGGACAGTGAGCAATCCAGTGGAGGTGGATTTATGGCGTCGCTGAACACTCTCCCAGCAACACTGGTACTCCCCAGAACGAGAGGCATAGGTGGAGTCGACGGGACAGCCTCAGCGGTGGGTTTATGACTGTGAAGATACCGCAGGATCTAAGTATGTCGACCTCACCCATGGTAACTTAGATTGATGGCCAGCGGTGGTGTAGTCTGGGCCTAAGCAAGGCCCATGGCCCTCTAGTGAGGTGCAGGAAAGGCCAGAAGATGCCGTCCCCAGGTCGAAGGCTCCATCTCTTGCTCCGACACAGTCTGGGACAAGGAAGGGTCTGTGGAGGAAGCTGTGAGGCAGTCTCATCTGGGGAGTGAATTCGTAGATAACTCACCTTTGTCCCCACTGGCTGCCTCCACCTGGCTGCCTCCTTCCCCACAGCAAGTCAAGCAGGGGAGATGGCACCGGGCCATGAGGGTGCTGAGTTTGTGCCTCAGGCTGGCCAGGCAGTTGGTTATGGACCATTGGACAATGGTGGAGGAGAAGTAGAAGATGGCAGGGTCCAAGCAGGTATTGAGGGTGCTGAGAAGAAGAGCGTACACCTTCCAGGGGGGGCTGTCGTTCTGGACAAAGCCCACCACATGGGACAGGTTGTAAGGGGCAAAACAGATTATGAAGTTGAACAAGGTGGCCACAACCAGGCCCACGGCGCGCTGCTTCTTCCGGGCCAGGATGTTGGGCAAGGCCACCAGGATGCGGACAAAGTTGACGTAGCAGAAGACGGTAACAATGAAGGGCAGGCAGAAGAGCACAATAAAGAATTCCAGCTGGACACAGAGGAGGACCTGGAGCTGCGTAGGGGAGAAATGTTCGGAGCAGTGAGACTCGTGTGCTGCCACGGTGCCATTGGGGCTCTGGTCATGGTACTGGAGAATGTAGAAGATGCTGCAGTGGCTGCAGGCCACCACCCAGAAGATCACGGAGGCGGCGATGGCATAGGCTGGTCGGCGCCAGAGCTTGTACTTGATGGGGAAGGCCACCCCCAAGTAGCGCTCAACGCTGATGGCCATGAGGAAGAGGGAGCTGATGTAGATGCTGCTGTAGTAGATGAAGCTGGTGAGTGGGCAGAGGGAAGGCGGCAAGCGCCATGCCATGCCGGAGGCGGCTTCCAGCATCTTGAAGGGGAGGAAGATGAGGAGCAAGATGTCGGAGACGGTGAGGTTGAGCAGAAGGATGTCGACAGGGGCGGGTTTCTGGCGGACCTTCACCAGGAAGGTGTAGAAGGCCAGGAGGTTGGACGGGAGGCCGATCACGAAGGTGACGATATAGACGGTGAGTAGCAGTGGGATGGAAATGTTCAAACTCATCTTCTTGGTGCCTACAAAAGCAATGGGCTCGTCAGCTACTGCAGCAACCCAGGCGTCCTGGCTCCAATCCCCCCAGCTCCAGACCACTCCATCCCTCTCCCCTCTGTGGCCCTCGGTACCCGCAAAGCAACACGCAGGAACCCGTGTTCCCCACTGTCACCTCACTATGTTACGTGTCATGGAAAAGCTGCCAGGTCAAAGAGCCTGTGGAAGGGGATGCTCGGCGCAAACCCGTCGTTCTGTTTCTTCATCGTTCATGGGCACGAGGGGATAAGATTTGCGGTGCAGTTGTCTGTGGAAAATGCTGTAAGTTTGAGAGTCCTTCCTACAAATGTAGCGACCTCCAGCCACGTGGGCGTTCACCGACCGTTCGTCAGCCGGGGAGTTTAGCTGCAATTCAAGCACCACACAACGGGGGGTTCACTGGCTCAGCAAAGCCCACTTGGACAGGTCCAAGGACGTGAAAATAAGGGGACAGAGGCCTCATGGCTTTGCCTTTTCTTCCCCCCCCCCTCCCCCCCACCTACTCGGCAAGCTGCAAGCACGCTGAGGAGAGAACTTCAGCAGGGGAGACAAGGGGGAGCCCTGTGGGTTATGAACTGGAACGGCCATTGGGGAGAGAAAACTGAACAGATCTGATGCCTGCCAGGAAGCACCAGGTGAGCTCCTGGGAGCCACTAGACCCCACTCCCCTCCCAGAGCTAGGGGAGAGAACCCAGGAGTCCTGACCCCCTGCTGCTTACTGCTCTAACTACTAGATCACACTCCCCTCCGAGCGCTAGGGAGAGAATCTAGGAATCCTGCCTCTCAGCACCCCCTGCCCCACACTCTAATCTCTAGACCCCACTTGCTCCCAGAGGCCGGTGAGAACCCAGGAGATCTGCCTCCCCCAGGCACTGAGCCATCCCAGTGATTGGGAAGAGAGGCCAACCAGGCTTCACACGGCTCAGGCACCTGACACCCGCATCCTGGACAGGCTGGGGGGCCCTTACCCCAAGCTGCAATAGGCCCCTCCTTCCCCGGGGTGCAGGCAGCTCATCTCCCGCCTCCCAGCACTGGGGATCGATTGTTAAATAGCCTCCCTGGGCACAGCCAGCCCGTGGCTACCCTACTAATCCCGGGGGGGAGCTAGTGGGTCAGAGCAGGGGGCTGGGAGCCAGGATCCCTGGGCTCTAGGACAGGGTGGGGTGGACGCCAGCACATCCCTCCTTGTCCTGCCCTCCCTCCCACCGCTGCCCCCGACGGAGGGAACCCGCTTTCCCTCCCAGCCCGTCACTGCTGGGCCCGGCGGCAGGACATGGAACTGGGACAGGATCAGACCCGCTAGCTGGGCTCTCAGAACCCCTGGCAATGGAGGTGCCCCAAGGGGGGAGGAATGGCCCCTCCAGTCTCTCTCCAATCGGAGGACCCATTCTGTGGGGGACTTAATGACCCCACCCCACATCCCGTCTGGTACCTCCCTGTCCTATCCCAGAGCTGGGTGCCCCCATATCCAGACCACTGGCTCTTCTGTCTCAGGGCTTCCCTCTTCCCCTCCCCACCATATCTGGAGAAGTGGGCTGTGCCCACGAACGCTCATGATACCTACCATCTACATTTTTGGTTAGTCTCTAAGGTGCTGCAGGATTACTCGCTGCTCTGTAAATTCCCTCAGCTGAGCTCCACACATTTCTATCCCCCTTCCCTGCTGCCCCAGCCAGTTTGGCTCAGCCCTGATCGCTGGTGCTGGGCAAACGTTAGTCACAAACCTGCTCCGGTGGAAGAACGGAGGGTCAGAGCAGGGAAAGGATTTAGTCATGCTGGGGAAAAGAACCCAGGAGTCCTGGCTCCTCCTAGCCCCCTGTTCTAACCATTAGACTACATGCCTCCAATTTGGGATAGAACCCAGGAGTCCTGACTCCCTGCTGTAACCACTAGATCCCACTGCCCTGCCGGAGCCAGAATCCCATGTCAGATGAGCCAGCAAGCATCCTTTCACTTTGATTTTTTGTTTTGCGAAAGCAGAGGGGCCTGGGCAGGACAAGGAAAGGCAAATACACCCTGGCCAGGCTTGGGAACAGAACCCAGGTGTCCTGGCACCCACCCCTGGCTTTAACTGCTAGGACCTAGTCACCTTTGAGCGCTGCAAAAACAACCCATTCCCCGTCCAATGCCAGCAATAGAGCCCAGGGGTCCTGGCTCCCAGCACCTACCCAATGGTCTAACCACTAGACCCCGCTCCTCACCCAGAGCTGGAGACAGAACCTTCGCATCTGCACACCAGGCCGGTGCTCTAACCATTAGCCCTCACTCCCCTCCCTGTGAGCCGCGGCACCAGGCAGGAGAAGAGCCCATCCTTACCTCCTCCCCAGCAGTGGAGCCCAGGAGCCTGGGCTGGGAGCCACAGGGGATGTGTCAGGGAAGAGCTGGAGGGAGCTCTCAGCAGCCCAGCTGGCTGGTTGTATCTGTGGCGGCCCCCCAGGAAACCCTCTGGCCTCCCTCCTCGGAGATCCACGCAGAAAGGCTGAGAGATGCCAGTGTTACTTCCTCCTGCCTTCCAGGAGGTTTGTGCCAACATGTTCCCATGAGGTGTGGTGTTCCCTTCCCCCCTCGCTACTACAGCCTGCTGCGGGGGGGGACTCCTGGGGTTTTCCCCATCACCAAGTGGAGTGGGGTCTAGTGGTTAGAGTAGAGGGGCCTATGCCAGGAGTTCAAGTTTCTATCCCTATCTCAGGTAGGGGAAGAGGGTCTAGTGGTTAGAGACCAAGGGGGCTGGGAGCCAGGACTCATGCCTGGAGTCCCTATTCTGGGAGGGGAAGGGGGCCTAGTGGTGCAACCCCAGGGTGCTGGGGCAGATGCTGCACTGGGTTTAGGGCAGTTTCTTTGGTCTCCCAGGCTGCAGCATCTCTCAGAAACGCGATATTAAATCAACAGGCAAATCCGATTCCGAGACCGGCCCAGTAGCCACAGCTGAGTGTCCGGGAATCCTTCCAGAGGCTAATGACAGAGGCAACGAGCCAGATCCCAGAGGGGATCAACTGGCCGTCATTCCCCTGGAGCCGTGGCCAGGGTGCTAGACGTGACGGGTCCCCAGGTCCCTTCTGGAAACCAATGAGAGCAGCTGTCCCAGGGCTCTGCAGACTGCTCCCAGGCACTGTGGCCAGGGCAGCGGGGGAGGGGGAGAATCCAGGGCCTTGCTTTGGAGAGGGAGGAATGAGCCCCCAAAATGCAGACACCCTGCCCCCACCCCCGGCCAAGTCTCTTGTACAACTCAGGGTCTAGCTGTGTCTCCCTCCTTCCCCCTCGGGGTAGCTGCTTCAGTTCCTATTTGCTTAGGCCCGATAGCATCGGTGCTGTGAAACAAAGCTGTTGGGGCGCGGGCAGGGACAGACGGATGGACATTAATCCGGGCCTGCCCAGGGCTGGTTCACCCGTCCTTCCAGAGGGGAGGTGGGTTTCGGATCGGGGCGTGTATCACTGCAGGGTACGCGCTTGGCATCTATGGACCCCCCTACGCTCTTTGGCCAGGCCGGCCCTTAGCCCAGCAGGCCTGGCTCCCAGCACCTGCTCTAATGCCTAGACTCACTTCCTTGGACAGCCGGGGAGAGAACCAGGCATCCTGACTTCCAGCACCACCACTACCCCGCGAGCAGAGGAGCCAAAGCCTCTGTCCCCACCGGGGTGGGCTGCCCCATTGGCTGCAGGGAGGTTCTGCCCGTGGTGAGACAGGGAAATGGCTGCCCAGCGCTGGCCCCCTGTGGTCAGGGCTGAGGTGGGGCCTTTGCAACCCTTCAGCAGCCAGATGTTTGGAAAATCAAACCGGGCAACCTCCAGCACCCAGGAGGTGCCCACAGATTTCCTCTAGGGGGTGCTGGCTCTGATGGCCCCAGGGCAGGGGCTGGGGCTGGCAGGACCCAGCCTTTCCCGTCTCTGGGGTGCTGGCTCAGGGGATGTGGAGAACCCAGTTGTCAGCCATAAAAACCCCACGGATAGAGCATTACCCCGACTGGGCAGATGTCCAGCGTGAGGCGCAGGGGGCCTGTGTGAGGCGGCTTAGAGCAGGGGGCTGGGACCCAGGGCTCCCGGGCCAAGGGCTATCCCAGCCGAAGAGCGTAGGGAGGGTCCAGCGGTGCCAGACGTGTAGCCTGCATGATACACGCCCCCCTCTGAACCCCACCTCCCCTCTGGAAGGGGGAGCCAGCCCCGGGCAGGCCCGGACTGGGCGCCCAGCATCTCGGCTTTGTGTCACAGCACTGATGCTATCAGACCCATTTAAATAAGAACTAACGCTGCGCCCAGGGACACAGGAGGGACTCCTGACCAGACCCCAAGTGCTGCATGAGATGTGGGGGAGGGGGTGTCTGCATTGTGGGGCTCATTCATCCCTCCCCAAAGCAAGGCCACGGGGAGGGAGGCTGAAGCCCGCCCAGCATCTCGGCTTTGTGTCACAGCACTGATGCTATCAGACCCATTTAAATAAGAACTAACGCTGCGCCCAGGGACACAGGAGGGACTCCTGACCAGACCCCAAGTGCTGCATGAGATGTGGGGGAGGGGGTGTCTGCATTGTGGGGCTCATTCATCCCTCCCCAAAGCAAGGCCACGGGGAGGGAGGCTGAAGCCGGGGACTCTCCTCGCTCATGCCGCCCCCTTGGCCACGATGCCTTAGGACTTTGTGTCTCATTGGTTTCCCAGCACTGGCCCATGAATATTCATGTCCCCTCCCCCACAACACTGCCTGGATGGGACCTGGGGACCCTTTGCCTCTGGCATTCAGGGGAGCCGTGGCCGATTGTCCCCCGCTGGGAGCTGGCCCGTTGCCTCTGTCTTCAGCCCTAAGGCAGCATTCCCGGCCGCTCAGCTATGGCTACTGGGCTGGTCTCAGTGCTCTGTGGAGGGATTTGATGCACCCCAGATCCCAAGCAAAGAAATCTGGGCCTGGATTTGCTTGTTTATTTAATATCGCACTTCAGAGAGATCAAAGAAACAGCCCTAAACCCAGAGCAGCACCCTGGGATTGG